TGCCTCAAGACCAGCCTCCCTCTCACCCTAAAGAAGCTGCTACGAAACCCTAATCCATACTTGAGTGATCTTGGAGCTTAGAAGGACATTAGAAGAGTAGTTTGGTGCTTTTGAAGAAGGTGTTCATTTTTGAAGACTTATTGGAGAAGATAGAGCTTTTAGATCCAGAACTACACCAGCTTTTAGCTCTCATTTGAGGTATAAAGTCTTAAACTTGGTGGTTATTTCCTTAGATCTCTTATGTTGAGTTATTGGACCTTTTTGGTCCCAAGGATGAAGCTTTATGGTTCAAATCTGATTTCTAGGCTTAGGGTTGCCACCCTTGGTGCTATTTGAGTCCCTAAGGCAGAAAGTTGCCATCTTGAAGGTCCTAATGGGTTCATGCAAGAGTTAAGACCATTTTCATGGAAGTAGTATACCATTTTTAGAGTTTGGGCTTGTTTGGGACACGCAAAGTCACCAAGTCAGTGACTTTATGGGTTTAGACGTTATGTAGAACTCAGATCTATGATTTGGTCCCTTAGTTTGAAGCATTAAGTGCTTAATAGCAAAAAGAGCTTAAAATGGGAGTACGTTGGGTGTACAACCTGGAACGTACAGTGTACAGGTCACGAACCTAGTACGCCCTGCGTACTCAGTCAGAGTGGGCTTCGTACATATGGGCCTCGTTTTGGGCCATTCATTGGACTTTGCTACTTTGGGTCTTAGTGGGCCATCTGGAATTGAACTTTTTGACTATAGAAGCATTATTGTGTAACGCCCGTAGATCCGGGCTAGTCAATTTAGAGATAATAGGGGTCGAAAACGACTTTTTGACAAAAGATTATTTAGAATAAATAATCTTAACCAAGTTGTAGAATACATCTCAAGGGTTCCGTACATATAAAGAACGTTGAAATCCGAGTTATAACGAAGAAGTTATGGTCCGTCGAAGTTTTACGGCAAAACCGGCACGACATCGGGAGACGTAAATAGTGAATTTTTGATAAAGTACTTTTTAGCCTTAGTGATCTAAACAAAATTTGTAGTATACGTTAAACCGAGAACATACGAAAAAAGAACGCCCAAATCTGACTTCGTATGAGGAAGTTATGAATTTTCTAAGATTTGGCATAGCAGTGCACGGCCCCGAAACTTGAATTTTAGTTCGAGCGGTTTTTGGCCTACACGACCTAAATGAGAAGTGAATATCTCATTAATAGGAACTCAACGGTAAAAAGACAGACGAAAACAGAGTCCGTATGTAGAAGTTATGAATTTTACGCGGACATTTAACAGTATAATCTCCTCGTGCTGTTAAATTTAAGATCGGTCGAGAATTAGCCGACAGAGTCAAAATGAAAGTTGTAGATCTTATTTTTAACTACGCTTGGATGTAAGGAACGTCAAAAACGGAGCTCGTATGTGAAAGTTACGGATTTTAGAAGTCGGAAGTGTGTTGTGCGAAAATGGGTGATGTGGCACAATCTTGGTCATTGCTTTCTCCCCAAGTCTTGCCACTAGATGGTGACATGTGGCACCAAGTTCAACCATTTTTCACCCTATAAATAGAACCTCTCCCACCATCATTTTTTTCATACCTTTCTCATTCTTTCTTTCTCTCACTAATTTCTCTCTCTAGCCCCGAAACCCCCCCCCCCCCCCCCGAAAATCCTAGGGAACCTCCCTAGCACGAGGAGGAAGCCCTGGAGTGCTCGACGGCTCCGAAAAGAAGAGTTTTTCGGCTCGGGAACGCTGCTCCAAGCAAAGCCCAATTTTCTATAAAACCCGCTGTAAGTGAGCTACGTCTACGCTATTTTTAATATAGCTTTTATTTAATTATAGTAACGTTATTAGGAACTTATAATAAGTACTTGGGCTATTATTATGGGTTATATAAGTATTGTTTAACGCTTATATAATAGTAATAATAGTTAGACTATTAATTAGTCTCGTTGAACATTAGACTAAACTCTAGTGGAAATGATACTAGGTTTTGTCAACGGAAATTTGTTTTAAAGTAAATGAAGTGATGTCCGAGTACCGAGTCACCACCATTGCAGGTGAGTGCATAGTTACTTTCATCTTACACATAGATATGAAGTATTTTATATAAATTACGTGCTATGTGTGCATATAACCTGTATACTTGCTATCTATGTTGGATGAATGATTTTATACATGTTTTAAATAATTTAAACTGTATATGTATTTTATATCTATGAATATGTTGGGTAAAACATGGGTAGATGAATGATGAGAGATGAAAGATGATATGAGTGAACATTGGCAGCTATAGACTTAGTGCCTAATAAATAACATCGGCAGCTATGGACTTAGTGCCTATTGAATAAACGTTGGTAGTTATGGACTTAGTACCTGATAGACAAACGTTGGTAGCTATGGACTTAGTACCCGATAGATAAATGTTGGTAGCTATGGACTTAGTACCTATTATATAAACATTGGTAGCTATGGATTTATTACCAGATGAATGAACTTTAGCAGCTATGGAATTAGTGCTTTACGAATGAGCATTGGCAACTATGGACTTAGTGTCTGTCTTATAACCCTATAAGCAAGGGACTTCGGAATGAACGAATGCAGGATAAAGGACTCTTAGGGTAGACCCTTAAGAGTGTGGAAGATAATGGGGATGGGTAATTGGGTTGATTTGTTTGATGTTTAAACATAATAATTGAATTATTGTGGGTTGAAATCCATATGTACTCACCAGGTTTCCCAACCTGACCCACTCAAGCTTATTTGTATCACAGGTGTCGATATGAAGCTACTTTACACTGAGGGATTTAAAAGAGATGTAGATCACTAGTGTAAATGAATGTAAGTTCTGTTTATGCTTATGTTTATGTATTAACGATGACATCCCAAATGTTTTAAAATGGATAAAAATACATTTCTTCGGAAATGCTTTGATAACGTATTTATCATGTTTTTCTGGGAACAAATTTCGCAACATTTTTATTAAAAGAGGTACTCTTATTTTTATAAAGCATAAACAAAATCGGTCTTTTCTGGCCGTGAAAAATGGGGATGTCACATATTGGGCCTTAGGTTGAGGCCCATGTGAATGGATTGGGCCCAATTGGAAATTGGGCCATATATATTGGGCCTTGTAAGAGTGTTTATCTTTTTGGGCCAAGGATTCGGTAGAGTTCATTTTGGGACAAGAGTATGTGAGGGGTAGAATGGTCTTTTACCCCAGTGAGGACTTATGGTTAAGTTATAAGAATCCCGAACTTAATTAGTTTATATGATGATTAATAGCTCGGGGAGTCAAGAGATCAGCAGTTCGGGGATCTGCCAGTCAGCAGCCGGAGGATTATCTGTGAGATTCTGCATTCAGCTTTGCGAGGTGAGTCTCCTCCTGTAGGGACATGTCGAAGGCACCAATTTCGGCTCGTATGTATGATTGTATGTTTTCCGAACCAAGGTCGGATGTCGGGCGGTGCCCAAGGAATGTTTATATGTGTGCTTCCGGACTACGGTTCGATGTCGGCTGGTATCCGATGATTATGTGCATGTTGATTATACTTGTTGTCTGTGTGATACTTGTATGTGCCTGGTAGGGAGGTGAGTGTGGGCGGAGTCATGTATCTCATCACTAGCTGAGTATGGACGGGGTTCCATATCTCATCATTAGCAGAGCAGGGACGGGGCTCAAGATAGGTGAGGCCTTAGGACTGGAGCATATAGTACTGTGTATGATTCTTTATATGCTAGTATGATTATATGATATAGTTTGTATGTGTATAGCGGGCGAGGCCCAGAGACAGGCGAGGCCTGGAAGAAACAGATATGTATACCGAGCGGGGCTCGATGCTAGGCGGGGCCTAATGCCGGGCGGGGCCCGAGGAAGGGGCGGGGGCCCAGTATATGTGTTATGTGTATGGTATGTGGTAGTATGGGGAACTCACTAAGCTTCGTGCTTATGGTTTTCAATTTTGGTTTCAGGTACTTCCAGTTGCAGAGGGAAGAGCTTGGAATGACTGCATCGCACACACCATAATGTTTAGTCAGGGATGTTTACTCTGATGTTTTGATTCGGAAACTCTGATAATAATGTTTTGAAATACTTTGACTCATGTTTTGATGAAATGATTTGATAACTATGGTTTTATTAATGATTTAAAACGAAATTTTTAGTCATGATTTTTGGGATGTTACAGGTTGGGTTGGGTAAATGTTGTCAACCCGTTTTCAACCCACCAACCAATTTAACTTTAATATATATTTAATTTAATAACTATTTAAATATTATCATGTATTAATCTAAGTATTAATTTATAAATTATAGTGTTGTATTATTATTTATGTTTTAAAAAAATGTAATCATAATTCTTATCTTTTTTCTTTGCACCGACAACATTAGTCACTCTTCAAAATCATTTCGAAATTACATATCATCAATGTTATTTGAATAATTTCTTTGTATTTGTGAATTGGAATTGTGTTTTTATTATATTTTGAAATTTTATTTAAGGTTTAAACTAATTTAAATGGTGTAATCTTTAGTTTATTTATTTATTTTTTTTATCTTAAATAGGTTAACCTAGGTTTAACCCACTTATTTAATAGGTTGGGTTGAAAATTACATAAACGGGTCAACTCGGTGACAACCCATTTATCTGAAAGGTTGAGTTGGATTTGAAATATTTACCCATTTAAATAAAAATGTTGGGTTGGATTGAAATCTTCAACCCAATAATAAATGGGTTTAACCCAAACTCAACCCAAGTCGACCCATTGACAACTCTAGTTTTTATAAGAATTTTAAGGGTTTTTTTAAGAAACCCCAACAATAATAAGACTTTGCCGGAGAGTTCAAGAATACATCGATAAGACAAAATAATCCAGCAAAAGACAATCTTTGCCTCTTAAAAGTACAAAAGAGGAAACAAACCTCCCTCTTTGCAATTGAAATTTGAAGGTGCCCTTTTACAGTGACTGAATAACACTGTACTTTTTTCTAATCAAAGATAACTTACAAAAGAGCTATTCCTTCCTAAAAAAAAAACCTAAAAATCCTACAACCACTTTGTTAATAATTAGAAAAACAACATATCTTAATTTTAACCTCTCACATGTTAACATTACATTTTTTTTACCTCACTTCACTTCTTCACCGAATGGCCAGTCTTCCTTTTATGCCGGCTAAAATCCGATACAAACCGAAACGTCTGACCGCACCCGTCCTCGGTGCACACATACGGTCTTGCCCCGGTGTGGACCCGTATATGTTCGGTTCGAGCCCACGCCCATTTGAATGTCATTTTGCAACCTTTCCATGGACATTGAAGAGGACGATCATCCATGTGTACACGCCTATGTTGCACCAAATACTTATGTGAAAAGAATTTTTTACCACATCCTTTCACCGGACACACGTTCCTTTTATGAACAATAAGTTCTTGTTTACTATCAAAACTCATATTACACCCTTCCATATCACAAGCAAATTCACCATCTTCATCTTCATCTCTCACTAGTGCTTCCATCGTGGGACCCGAACCCAAACCCTTTTTCACCTTTTTCGTCCCACTCATTTTCTTAATCTCGGGAGACGGCGGTGGTTTTATAATCCGTTTTCTTAACCGCCTACTCGACCCACCACCACCACCGGATTCTTCGCCGGAATCCATGGTGAACGGTGGTGTGATTGTTCTAGACAAAAGGGCGGTGGCTGTTGTTTTCTTTCTTAGGTTCGTTCTCGGCTGTCGCCGGAAACCACCGCTTGCCGCCACCGCTGCCGCCTCGACTTTCGCAAACTTACTTTTTACACTACTTTCCACCATACAACTCTTCTTCCTCTTTCTCACACTTTTTCTAAATACGGTGATTTCGGGTCGTTTATCGATTTTTATATTCGATAAAACCGAACCAGGCCCACCAATCTCGTCTTCTTCTGGGTCCCGTTCTGTTAACAACGGGTGAGCTTGATTCGACATCCATACTTTGCCACACCATTTTCCCGCCACCACAATTTTTTTCTGCCTTCCGGAAGGTTTCGCTTTTGTTGGGCTACTGGAAGTGAAATGTCCAAATGCGCTGTAAATAACTAAATTGTAAGGCATTTGTTTGCTGTAAAGAGGCGAACGGGAAAGACTAGCACTGTAAAAAAGATTGATTCCTAATTTTACAGCCCAGTCTCGGTTTCCGTGTGTGGCTTCTGAACTATCGAGAGCCGATTGTATCCATTCTTTGTCTTCTTTGTTACTTTCTCTAAATCCAAGATCTGTCCACCTGTCATGGGTCCCACATTCTGTTGCAACTAACTTTGCTTCCGAATCTAAAGAGGGATAATCTGCAAATAGTGTATCAAAATTACATTATTGGTCACTGAGTATAGTTAGTTTATTTGCAAATTTGGTCCCCAAAAGTTCTCTTGTAATTTTGGTCCTTGAGTAGAGGACTTTTTCTTTTTGGGACCAAAACTGAAGAAATGAGCTATACTCAGGGACCAAAAATGTAATTCTCTTCAGAAAAAAAAAAAAAAAAAGTACCTTGGTGACAAAGGAGTAGAACGCGAATACCACCAACAGAGCGGAGGCGTTGTTCTACTTCCAGAGCATGTTGAAGGCAAAATATGTGCATTCTAGAAGAATCTTCATCACATGATGTTTTTGTGTTTTCAGTTTGTTTCCCAGAATCGTGTGTATCAGATAAAGGATTTTGTGACTCTATCTCATTATCAAATCGACCTTTTGAACAATTTGAGTCCTTGAAGCTTTTGTTTCTTTCAAGCTTGATAGAACATTCGAAAGTCTGATCATTTATATACTTCATATCACCTCTCACATCATCATCATCATCTTTGTTGACATGATCATCATCATCATCAGAATCTGAAGATTCGCCATAGGCTAAAGCCAAGAGGCCAAGGGAGGAATTCACTTTTTGTGCTTCAGTAGGTGAAGTTGCACCCGAATTATCATCAACATTTTGAATTTGGTCACTAGATTTTATTGGAACATCAAATAAACCATCATGGCCTCTTTCTGGTATTTTCCCTGCATTCATTCGTATGAACAAATATATAAAATGTTTTATTTACATAAAAATTACAAAATTGTGTACCTAAAGAGGATTCAGGATCCACCACACTTGCATCTTCATTAGCAGCAAAGAACTCAGTAGCAGCAACAAGATCACTAATACCTTTACAATCAGCTGACATGAGGTAATCTGCAGCTGCTTCTGTAGGTCTAATAATTGCAACACATGCATAACACAAAATCCCACATGTAACACATGAAAAAATACCAGGGTCTGGTTTTTTATCACATTCACCACCCTTATACCTTCCACTTCCCATGTTATAAGAAGCTAATAAACTACTTGATGAAGCACAAAATGAAGAAAGTTTCCTCATGGGCTTTTTGTCTTGAACAGCATCATCTGAATCTGAACTGTTTGTAGAAAACTTTAATCCATCATTTTGACCAAATCCAAATCGACTTCCGTTAGATTTAACGGGATTCCGTTTGTCCGAGAATTCTTCCGGAAGAATTACAATAGCAGAGCCTTTACCAAGATTATGAAGAAGGTTGTTGTTTTGCATCATGTCTTCTAAAAATAGTCTTTTTACTGAAGCTTCTCCTTCAACTTTTAACTTGTCTTTTAATCGGGAGCTTCGAGGCTCGGGTTTGATGCTTGTTGGCACACTGTAGAATGGGTGTTTCTTTTTCACTTAATGCAGAAAGAATGACTTAATACAGAAAGTCAGAGAAATAAGGAAGAGAAACAGACCTTGAAGAGAATGATATTGCAAGATCATAAAGCAACTGAGAGTGAGACACCATTGGAGCACAGTTAATTGAAGCCCTACGAATTGCAGCATCTCGTGCAACTTTCAACCAGCCAGGTGTCGCAATATTAGCAGCTTCCCCACAATTAAATCCTATATTGAAAAAGGAAAAATGAGACACAAATGGACAATAATAAGGTGGTGTTTCTTTTTGACTTAATAGAGACAGAACTCAGGTGATGCTTCATGCTTCTTTTTTTTACTATTAAGTCTTGTATGGGTAATGATTTTGGATAAAGCGGTGTATAAATAAGGTCTGTTTCTTTCTGACTGAATAAACCGTCTGAATGAGACTAAATGACCATTTTACCCTTACATTCCATGAAACAAATCTCACAATATTTATCAATTTTGACATAAGATGAGTTGAGAGGGAAAATTGTTTATGGGTAAAAATAATATAAGAAGAAGAGAATGGGGAGCAGAGGTAAAGATAAGTAATAATATGTTACCATGACTGAACCCTGAGTGATAAGCCCTAGGGAAAGTGACAACAAATTCTCCAGCATTTTGCACTAACCTGGTTAAAACAAAGTTAAAAAGCACACAGTTTCGTAAGGTAAATAAATTGATCTTAAAAGACAAACCAAAAGATTACAAGTATTAAGGGTTTTACCTATTTGTGGACTATATCACCTCTACAAAGTGTTATCAGTCTTACTTTTGACTAAATTTGAAAAACTAATATAGAAATTCATAGACCATCTATTTAAAATCTTGCCAAAATTGGTTGTAATAATGTTTAATCTTATAAACGTGAGTATAAACAAAAAAGTAGAATCTTAAAAACCCTATAAAAGCCTCACCTGCAGCAAGGAACACCAGCCCTAAGTAATACTTCTGGAGATATAATTGTGGTCTTCTCGCCAAGAGTAGCAAAAGTCACTGAAAAGCAAAATAAATATGAATCAAGTCGCCTCTGAAATGGGTTGCTTAAAATTAGTGAAGCCACATGTAACAAAGCATGTAGTTAATCAAGAAATAGGGAAATTCGAGAGGTATGAGGCACCTATCTATCAGAATTTATATGAAATGGTAATCGTAATAACTCACCAATGGGATTGATCTCGCCTCCATAGGCATGTTCCCTGATAACATCTTCAAATGCAACCGCAGCATCCCTGGGTACGCCATACCAGGTTTTCGAAGCACCCAAATGCATATAATTCAAGCTATGGAAGTCATGATCTTCAACATGCCAAGCAAACCAGCTAAACAGCATGGAAATGTAAACCATGGGCGAAGTGACACCAGGTATTTCCTCCTTCATAAACTTCAACAAAGACCCTTTTGACCTTGAAACCCCTCTCATATTCCACTCGGTCTCCCCCACCGTCAAGGCGTCCCCAATCTCCTTTTTCCCGTGTTTCTTCCCATGTCCACCGCCCGTTTGATCAAATGCCGAGCCGGGCATGTCATTTGCATACTCAACTGAAAATGGTTTATCCACATGAGCCTTCCAGTAAAGTGTCTCGACTTCCAACGCCGTTAAACCCTTCTTCGAATTTGATCCTCTTTTAAGGTAACTCTTTTCAAAGCTTTTGGCTTTCACTTCAAATTGGGGCACGGTGTATATCTCGCCGCTCTGCCAAACAGGTTTCTGAACCGGTCGATGGTGCTTACGAGGGCAAAAACCGACCTGTTGCTGCCTGGTAGTGAATGTAGGTGATGAATCAGGGTTTCGGGCGGACAGAGAGCGATTCAGGTTAGCAATTACAGTTTTCTTGGGTGAAGCAGAGACAGGTGGGATGATTTTACAGATTCCATACTTGGAAGCTTCTTCTTCGATCTTGAAAATATATGAAATTGGATCTTGAAACTCAGCTAGGGTTGGGTGGTACTCTGGTGCTAAAGGTAGAGACTTCAACCATGGAAAAACCTCTTCACCCATTAAGGAAAATTACCGACACATACAAATAGAGTAGATAAACTTACAGATATTTGGGTATGCGTATGGTAGATCTGAGAAGCTCGTCAGAAGAGGTTCATGGTGAGCAGAGAGGGAGAGAGAAAGAGAGAGAAGCCTATGAGATTCCTATTATATTTGATATAAATTGGTGTCTCCTCTGTTTTCTTTATCACTAATTTATATTGTATTGAATTGAATTTCCCCTGTTTTTGCTTTTCGAGTTCTGAGTTTTCACAGAGGAAAAGGTGAAAATTGAAAAACAAGGGGCAGAGGAATGGGGTTTTGTTGTGGCTTTGGGAAGGTAATGAATGTTGTATCTTTTAAACTTCTCTAAAAAAAACTGTACTGATTAATGTTCGGTAAAGAATAAGTAATGCCAAATTTTACAAGTGTACAAATTTTTTTACTTACTAGGTTTGATGCCTTGTGTTACACAAGGAGGTTAGTATACAATAAAATGGTTTTTACTAATTTATGTGGTCGCTAACTTTATTAGCATAACTTAAAAATAAGTTAAAATATTGTTAAATAAACCGGTAAAAGTTTGTGTCGTTATGTAAATTGAAATATGTAATTTCGTTATATAAAACTACAAATAGATCACTAATCCTACTGATATCTATTTTCAGAAATTTACATCGTTTCTAAACTCCCGGTAATGTTTGGTTTTTAGTTATAGATTATTATTTCTTCTACAGAAATTCAAAAGATGTATTCGGAAAAAATCATTATATTTCATTTTCTTTCTTATTAAAAAAGCATTACAAATTAAAAAGAGTAAATTACACGGATGGTCCATGTGGTTTGGGGTAATTTGGACGTTTGGTTTCTAACTTTTTTTTTAACTCGGACGGTCCCTATTACATTTTTTGTTGCGCGGTTGGTCCTGTCTGATCTAAAAAAACTATTTTTCCCTTAATAACTACTTTTATTTTGTTAATTCTTTTTTTATTATTACATTCATTATTAAATAAATTAAATTATTAATGTTTGTTAAAAAATCACCAAACTCATCTTAATCCTCTTACAAAACCTGCGATCACCTCCGGTCACCATGTGTGACATCATATACACAACCATAGATCCAATACCAAAGAAATCAACACAGAGCTACCTAACGTTAAACAATAAATTTGAATATACATCTAAAATCAAATCCAAAACCAAATCCAAAATAAAACCTGAAAATGAAATCTAAAACCGAAATGGAACCTACTGAGCAAACCCAAATCCAAAATCGAAGATGCAACTGAAACTAAAATGGAAGCAAAATCCATGATGCAAAAGTCACAGATAACATCACAATGCAAAAATCCTAAATATAGCCCCAAATGCAAATCAATTAATAAAAAAACAATCCTTTCGTCAGTATCAGAAGAACAACCTTTTGATGCCTTCACTGCTTCACGTCGATCGTCAAACCACTACCAGACTCCTCTATTTCTTGTATATCCAACACCACTGGAATTATGGATGTTCCAGGTGGCGACGATGTAGAAGATCGAACCAGAAGTGGGTTGCGATGTCGGGGTTGTAGCCCACTAAAGGGGGATGGGTGATGCAAGCTCCGGTGCATGGAAATAGAGGGGTGATACATCTTAAGGAGGACGAAGGGTGAGTGAGTGGGTGAACTAGTTGCTTCCCGATGAGAAAAGGGGTAACTAAATCTGAATTTTAGGGTTCTGTTCTAATTCTAGATAAGAGAAGAAGAGGGTTGATGATGGAAGAAGAAAGATGAAATTATATAACTTGATTGTGGAATGGGAGAAGTGTAGAAGATGGTGAGGTAAGTGATCGATGATGTAGTGATGTAGGTGGAGATGAAGAAGAAGAAGAAGAAGAAGAAGAAGGGAGGGGTACGGTAGATTTTAAGGATTTAATATCAAATGTATTTTTTTAATCTATTAGTGTTTTTTTAATATTATAAATAGAATAAAAAGGTAAATGAATAAATAAAAAAATTATTAAGGGCACAATTGTCTTTTTAAGTCGGACAGGGATCAAACGCGCAACAAAAAGATGTAATATGGACTGTCCGAGTTAAGAAAAAGAGTTAGAGACTAAGTGTGTAGATTACCCTAAACCACATGGACTATCCGTGTAATTTACTCAATTAAAAAAATCAAAAGGAAACATTCGACTGGTTATCTCTTTTAGCCCGATTATTATTGCCTAATGACTTTTTATAATAGTATTATTAGTAGCTATCACTAGCTATTGTATTATCAGTGTATTATTTGTCTTGTGTATTTGTTTGATAACTTAGGCACATGTATTATACATATTTGTATATATTTGTATACATGTACATGTCAAGGATGTCCTAAGCGTCTAAACAAATAAATAAGGGGTATAAAGGTTATTTAAATTAATGTCAAATTCACTAAGGGGTAGTACAGGAAGCAATGTCAAATTCACAAAGACACAGTCCTAAAGTCTATGTCTTTTGCGTAAGGCACGTACTAATCTGACAGTAAATTAAATAAGGGGTTTTGATGATTAAAACTAATATTAAACGTAAATTTATATTAAATATATATGCAACTAATAACTTATGCAAAATCAGATAATTAAAAGCAATTTTAATTCCACAGTGACTCTCCTAATTATGCAAATAACTTTCAACTTGATTGTTTGAATTGTGTTCTGTAACGTCCCTGAAATAAGACCCAAAAATTTTATTTTTAATTTAAATAAAACGGTACTTCAAAACATTGTCATACAACCAAGATAGACCAAAGTATGTCACTACATCATATCATATTAGAGTAAATCAGAAAATACGAAAAAGGTGGTGTGTGCTCTACAATCATCTCGGGCTTTTCCATTTCGAACCAGAAGTACCTGAAACATAAAATGAAAATTATAAGCACAAAGCTTAGTAAGTTCCCCAAAATACCACATACCATACATAAATAAACACATACTGGGCCCCCACCCCACATCGGGCCTCTCCCGGCATCGAATCCCACTCGGCCTCGGGCCCCGCCCGACATCGAGCCTCGTTCGGGTTACAGATCTGTCATTTATTAGGTCTCGCCTGACATCGGGCCCCGCCCGGTATACATAAAAACATATAAACATATAATCATGCTAACACGTACGATAATCACAAAGTCAATAGCATACAATACAGTCATCGGGCCTCGCCCCACATCGAGTCCCGCTTGGTATACATACCAGTACATAACACATGCAAGACTCACGCAAACATCTAGCATCCTAACATAATAATCATGAGTCAGCATTGGTGCCTTCGACTCGCTAAACCCGGTAAGGAAACTCACCTCAGACTGCTGAATCTCACAGATAAATCTCTGGCTGCTGGCCCGCTAAAATCCCTGCGCTATCAATCACAAAAATAACATCCAATTAATAATTGGATCCCGAATCACACTAAGAGTCCAAACCATGGTAAAAGACCTTTTTACCCTTTACCCAACTTGGCCTAAGGCCAAGGCCCAATCTAATTGTCCAAAAGGCCCAAATTCCAAAATAATCACCCAAAGCCCAAATATGGCTCAATTTTCCAAATTGGGCCCAAATCCCTTCATGGTCCTTCAACCAAGAGAGTCCAATAAGATGACATCAGCCCAAAAATAAAATTTTGATGGCCCAACAAGGACCTAGACTCCTAAGGTCCAACATGGGCCCACTACCGAAAAGCCCAAAGTTTCGAAGCCCACTGCTGAGTACGCGGGGCGTACTCAGCTCGTACGCTTAGCGTACTCGCTCTGGGGCTTGTACGCACAGCGTACCAGCTTGTACGCCCAGTGTACTCCCCATTTTGGCCAACTTCCATCATTAAGCTCTTATTCGGTTAAAACTTCAACCCAACACTCAGATCTGACTTCCTTAAGGTGGTTTATCACGTAAAGTTGCCAACTTTACGTGCATGCATGGCTTAATGGGGTTCTATAACTCAAAATAACTTAAAAAAGGGTCTTAACACATGCATAAGTCCATAAACACCTCAAGCTTGCATTTTTATGGACAAAGGGACCAAAAGAACCCTAGATCTACCATCAAGCACTTATGGAGTGAATCAAGAGGCTCAACACTCATTCCAAGGACTCAAAAAGCACAAAATGGCACAAAACTAGATCTAACATCATAGATTAGCAAGATGGGAGCTTTTTACCTCACAAGGATAGCAAATGATGAACTAATCCCAGATCCTCAATCTCCAAGCACAACTCCAAATGGTTCACTTCTTCTTCTCCTTCACAAAGCACAAAAAAACACAATTTATGTCTCAAAACTCTCAAGAAGTCACTAGGTTTTCGATTTCTGGACAAGAGGGGATGGAGGATGTCTAAACATGACCAAATGAGGCTATCATAAGGCTTAAATAGGATGCAATACCCTAAAAATTAGGGTTTCATCAACCACACGTACGTCATGTGTACTCAATGTACGCCCAACGTACGTGGTCCAAAGGCGCTATCCTCTTCGGGCTAGTACGCTAAGCGTACCACCCTGTATGCCCTGCGTACTAGCTTAAAGGCCAAAAAGAAAGGAATTTGCACTTAGGGTTAAGAAGAGACATACCCAAAAATGAATGTTACATGGAACGTGCCATGAATCTGACTGAGCTCGTCTGGAAGATCCAAGCGATATGCAACCCGACCCACCCGGGCCAAAACCCTGAAAAGAACGATATACTTGGGGCCCAGCTTGACCCTCTTTCTGAATCGGGTGACACCTTTCCAAGGTGACACCTTCATGAGAACCATATCCCCCACCTGGAACTCCAGATCTAATCGGCGTCTGTCGGCATAACTCTTCTGCCGACTCTGAGTTGTCTGGAGTCTACTCCGAACCTATTGTATCAACTCAGTGGTCTTGAGTACCACTTCAGTACTCCCCATAACCCGTTGACCGAACTCATCCCAACATATTGGGGTCCTGCATTTCCTCTCGTAGAGCATCTCAAAAGGAGGTCGATCGATGCTGGCATGATAGCTGTTGTTATAAGAAATTTCCACTAACGGAAGGTTTTAGGCCAGTAGCAATCCAACCGGGAGGTTGTGGGCCATAAGGGGGCAATCCAACTAGAAGGTTGTGGGCCATGGGCAATCCAACCAGAAGGTTGTGGGCCAGGGGTAATCCAATCGGAAGGTTGTGGACCCAATATGTATTATTTGTATA